GTGGTGATATAATATTAATTAATTTATATACGTTGAACAAGTTTGTTTTCAATTTTTTCCACAAGTACGCACCTGCAGTCCACTTTCATCGAAATTCTGGCTTCGAAATGCATCTCACCACGTTTGATACGGTAATAAAATCAAAACAGCGTGCAAGAACTTTTTAATGACTTTGAAAGTGATAAACGTGGCATTTAAAAAATTCGGAATATTTTTAAGAGAAACTAAGGGTGATCGATAGGCCAAACTTATTTTCTTCTCCTGTATAAAGAAGCGCACTAAACAATGCATTTACATAATAGTGAGTCATAATATGTTCTGACACTTCGTTCTCGAGACATTCGCACGTGACTTTATCCGGCAAGACATTTCGTTGTCCTTTTGCGAGTACCCGTTTGTAACGGGACGCATTTTGGCAAAAAACATTTTTTCTTTTTATGTTTACATAAATAATTTTTGAGGATTTTTGTAGTTGTTCGTATGCGGTTAATTTTATTCTATACTGGTTCGTCACGAGTGAAAAGCTGGTGTCGTTTGACTTCTAACTATGGTAATTGGAGCTTCAAGACGTTTTTATTGATAAACGATATAAATGTTGGGAGACTGTCAGCAATGCGAAACCGGAGCCAGTTACGGCAGAGTTGAAGTAAAAAAAATGAGATGGCAATAGCAACTATCGGATTCGCGGTTAACGACAGCCATCTGGATTCATATTCTGTATGCTGAAACTAATGGAGGCTTGGGATAATCTTAAAAGGGTTCACGTAAAAAACACGCTGAGTACAACAATGTTTCTGATACCGAAAATTTGCCGTCTTCGTCTTGAGCACAGCGGTGCGATATAGAGACACACATCGAGAGGCTAACAGACCTGGTCGAAAGGTTGAACGGAATGCAGCAAAATCCAATTCTGGATGACCAGTGGCTAGTGGCGATTTTGTTGAAGGACACTGGAGTGAAACTTCGAGACTGCGAGCCTGGGAGAGGTTCGGAATTACGTCGGCATTGAAGTGGTACCTACACTGGCGACTTTAACATTATGCAACGGAAATCGTGACGACTGATTTTGAGGATGCTAAGACATATCCGATTTCCATTTACGTGGGATATTTCAAGCCAAATGCCGGAGATAAGCCACCTCCTGATAACTCAGAGAAACAACAACTGGTGGGAATGTTACTTTTCAGACATAGCTGCTCGTGTATCCATTCTCAGTCGTAATCTTTCGAATCCTACCCAGCGTGACTGGAGCAAACTGCAGTTCAACATAGCTTCGACGATTGAGCGGACTGGAGGACTAAGACGGCGGTGCTAAGGAGGAGTGTGGAGATTAGTAGCAACACTGCTTTGTTTAATATTTTGTGTACATACATATCAGTTTGATCAGTGCACCATTGATATTTTTCTAATTGTTTCAATGTTATTTGTCAATGTAGGTTTATGATAAGTAAAAGGAAAAAGTATTTCATTTTATCCCGTTTCTACTCACTTGTCGCGTCCATCTGTCTGCTCCGACACAGACCAGACACTTAAACAAAGATTAACGCATACTTTTAGCGCCACCTAAAAAATAAAGACAGTCAATCTCATGTATTTAATTAACGTAGATTGAGGACTGAATTCTGTGAGAGGTCCATGGGTTCCGAGAAGGAACCTAAATATAAGCCCATCTTTTATAAAGACTGTCCATGTGTTCATTTAACTTGGAGATTATTTCCATTGTAAATATTGTAAGGACATATCAAATCGACCGCCTGAATTTAGTTACTTTGTTTACTGGGGTTATTGATTTTTACTAGGTCCATAGATCTTGTTTCCATTTAGCATACTCAAAGTAAGACAGTAGTTTTTTGTTTCATATAAGTGCATTGCTTTTGGCGGGAATGATGTACTTTTACGGTAATATAATTTTTCATTGGTTGGTCAATTGATTTTGTATAAAATAAATAAAGATTGGTGTGTTTGAACCTATCTTTCTTGAAGCGAAGAAATAGTGGTTAGTCAAAACTGACTGTCACATTTTAACAGGCTGCTGATTAAGTGGACGAGTTTTCTCTTCCTTTTGACAAATGCACCGGAGTAGCGTTACACTCTTCCGTTTGGTTAATAGAAAACAATTCCTTTTCTCCTTTCATTAGAGTGCCGTGATGATTAAAACTACTTTCACTCCGAATGTCCACCCTCGCGTACCAAAAATAGGGTACTGGTATCACTAGTTATAAAACTTAATCATAATTTCTCCTGTTGGGGAGCAAAAGTTTGCAAGTTCTCTTCATGTTCGTAAAATTGCGTATCATCTGCTATTGTGCGCCATTGATGAGCACAATTATACAGAGTGTTCCTAAATCTGATGTAAATACGGAAGGGGCTAATTCTTTGGCATGACTATAAGTTATATATAAACATAGGTCCGTAAACGCTTCGTTACCGATCTATAGGGTGCTATAGTTCTACCGTACTTACACTTTACAATTTAAACCTTTAATTTATAAACATATGCAAACAGAAGATAAAAACAAAAGATTATCCAAACAAAGCCAGGACCTACTGAACCACTTTAAAAATTTTACTTTAATTTAGCAAATTATCGAAAACTGATTTTTTTTCTATAACGGTCGCAAATACGAAAAATTACAAGAGACTAAACAAATTCTACCATCAATAGCGCAAAGAAAAAGAGTTCAAGAGTAGAAATTGGAACATGATTCCTGAAAAAACAACATCCTGTAGATTCTCACTTCCATTGACATGACCAATGCTTTAAGCCCTTCAGGAGGTTACGTATTCCTTTAAGTTTTATGTAAAAAAGAAATGGAGTTTCTGAGGCGATTCAGTTCGGTGTGTGTGCTTTTTTTATACGCATCCGTGGTAATCACAGTGTATGTGCAGCACAAACTTCGGATATTTCATCCGATGCACGACGTGTAAATCGAATGGTAAGTCGAATAAAGTACGACAGACTCCACACGCTACGGATCAGTTTCACACGATGAACCAAACGTTTAATCGCAGTGGTAAAAATGGACCAATTGCGTTCTGAGACGCTGTACAGTAAGTCATTAGAATCTATTATCATAAACAAGGTTGGAATCGGGCGATACGAATTCACTGATTTACACGATATTTTGATTATTAACATTAAAAGGTAATTACGACTTTAATTAATTTGTTTCGATCGAGCGCTTGTAGCGTGGTATTTGTCGCTGGCACTATCGCCCTTTTTATTACAGCAATTATCGAATAAATTTGTTTTATATTTAGATGAACAGTTTTGTATGAGTTTGAGTGCCCAAAGAAGCGCATAATTCGGGTTTAATATTAACAAAAATATTATGACGGAATCAATCGAAAGAATTGTTGCTATTGGGACTTAATTGGAGGGTGATCCCTCAAAAATAGAACATTTATTTATAAAACTGCAGCCATAATGTTACACGGATTCTAGGTATAGATTCGCCTGTGAAAATTCGCACCGGTAAATTCAACCCCCATAAAATTTGACTCCAGATAAACTGGCCATCGGAATACTCGCCCAGGAAAATTCGCCCTCGGAAAAATCGCCGATATAGAAAGTGTCCCATTTAAGTTCGTTTAACATAAATTGTAATGGGTTGGCAGCACCCGTAATTTCCCTACACTATATTGTATCTGAGATGCCATAATGAGACTTTAAATTGTCGCACTCGGAAAATTCGCCCCTTAAAGATTCACGCCAGCAAATTTTGCTTACGGAAGATTCAACACAATATGGCGCGGCATCGACGGATGTGACGTTTCGCTTCGGAAGTAGTACGTTGTGGTGAAGTTCTTCAGAGCGAAATGCTGTAGGCAAATTTTCCAGGAGCGATTCCTCTCGAGGAAAATTTTCTTGGGCGGATTTTCCAGGAGCGAACCTCCCAGAAGCGAATATTCCTGAACGCCAATATTGCCGGTCTCGAATTTACCAGAGTCGCACCCAACGTACGTTGACACACATCAGAGTGGATAAGATTTTTGGAGCGAAGAATCATATCATATATCGTAATACTCAGGTGTTCGAAATCGACCATAGAGAAAGCTTTCAAGATTATTTCACAGCGGCGTCTATCTCGAAAACATTACCGTGATCTATGATACAGTTCCAATTTTTTCAATCCTTTGTGTGTTCCGACGGCAATAAAAAAGTTTTTGCAAGGACATTGGAACAGTGGCGGAACAGCAGGCAAGTCCCCTAAATATACCGAACCTCATTTAGCGTAACAGATCTGTTTGCCGACACCTTAGTAATCGTCGTTAGTAAATGATGCCAGATTCCATCCAAATGTTTAATGATAAACATAAGAATTGCATGTATGATCAAGCATTTTTGGACAGAGTTGAAGACTGAAACAATAATGCAAGATCACGTTCCGCCACTGAGTCGAAATCGATGAGGAATCAGTGATTTAATTGAATTTAATTGGCGTATGATTTCACTTTAATTTATCTTACCCATTTCTGGTTTCAGGTGGGATTCGTCGCTATTTTGAATTTTCCAATTTAGATAGTATTTGATTTTGTGACGGCAATTATTTCTGATTTAACCTACGACTAAGGCGGGATTAAATCAATTTTTAAAACCTATCAAGAAACTGAAGGATCTGGTAGAGGTGTTTAGACGTGATTAATCCTAAACGTGGCAGGCTGCTTCGACCACTCATAAAAAACGACAGACATTTCTAAACAAAATGAATATTTGATTTCATTAATTACGAAACGTGTAGATTTAAACGGAAATTAGAGGCAATGATCACGACTTTTCATTTGGAGGTGACCGCGCTAGTCAAATGTATAGTTTAAACGTATATAAGGCTTTGTCTTTTGTGGCTAAGTCAATATTTGATATTTAAAGAGGCAGAATTTAAGCTATGGAATACCAAGTGTAAAACCAAATATTCTTGGGCAATTTTAAATAAGAGTAAATATAAAGTATGTGACCACGAAGCTTTTTTGCGACGGAAATGTGAAAGTTGGACGCTTACCTCGATCGACGATCTTCCCAAATAAGTTTTTGCCTCGTAGAAAGTTTCGCGTAGAACAATTCCATCTTCGATTACGAAACTGGTACTGACATTCGTGTATGGCTTGATTCGCGCCTTTTGCGACGGCAACTAACACGCCCGGGTTTTCTCGCGCCAATCTCCTTTGTTTCTTTCGAAGGGTTCCGTGCACGGATGAGTCCATGTAAAGCACGCCGGGAGAAAGTGGCGAGAGATTATTTGGCTCACCCGCCTTTGCGATGCCCCTATAACAAAGACAGTAAGGCGTTAAAACTTAAACAAAAGTAATCCGGACGACAAATATTTACTAAATGGGTGCGAATTGTCGGTAAATATAAAAATCTCTCTTATTTGTCTTGGTCATTACCATAGACATTTAAACAAGAGATTATACAAGACTTAATGTATTCTCTTCGGTTGAAAAAATATATATCGTCTTCGGCCAATAATGACTAAACAAATTAGGCTGTATTTCCTGGTGTAATATTTAATTTAAATAATTAACTTAAACCACTTAAGATCCAATGCAAATAAATGGATTTGAAAATGAAGCTTGGTGTACCTAATCCTCTTTTCTGTGTGAAACATAGCAATGTGAAGCTCTAGCATACAAATTTCCATACAGTCACGAGGCAGGGTAAGTATAATAAGAAAATTAGCTACAAATATGTTAAAAATCCAAAAAACACTGTTTGTGAGCCATTAAAATGAGTAATTTATCTTACACTATAATTATAAAACATAATTTTCAAGGCGATGTTTCGTCCATGATTTAAGCATTAATGGTCGGAAAATTACTAGTTTCGTTTATGAAGTGTTTGTGTAATTTACACCACTCCGAATGTATTTTAATTAGTTACGTTCAAATGCAGTTTATTACGAAGCAGGTATAATGGGGAGCTATGTGAAATGCCATCTCCGCTTGAAAATCACACCTCGAGGCTCAGGACGCAAAGGACCACCCTGAGTATTATGGGAGGAAGACGTGACGCATCATTTATGGTTTGATTTAATTGTAGCGAACATACACTAATTTTTACGCCTTAACCACCACTAGGATAACCGCAGTACCTTAAAATGAATTCAAATGGCACTAAACACTCCCATTTTTTTCAGTCCTTTCCACGAGTATCGTGGTCCTTTCCTAGAATTGGTGCACAATCCCATTGAACGCCATAAATTTAGCTGATGTGAATATAGTACTCGTAGTGCATATTTTGCGTATGTACAGAAATAACACCTGTTAAATAAGAACTGCAGCTGTCCCTTCCTCCTCATGTTTTTACAGTAGCTTGCACCCTGGATCTGAAATATTACTTTTTTGCCACACTTAATTCACAGTTTTAGTTAAGAACCCCTTACTCGCTTATGTCAATTATCGCAACAATAAATTATACGACAATATTGAAGAAATCACCTCTTATGGCATAAAAATAAACAATCCATTTGCTATTCTTGTATTGTTCTTATGGATGCAGGTCTTCTATAAGTATAATCAATTTTTAACAGCGCAGGTTAAATTATATTTCAATAGCAAGTGTACCTGATCTCACCTTTACTTCTTTTACATAACTGAGACAACATAGCGCAGTGGACAACGATATATCAAAACAACCCAGAAATTAAAATTTCATCTCTCGAAAAAACAGCATTTTTTCTCTCTCAAATTGAAAAATTATTTGAGTCAAGCGTGCATACAAATTTCATTTAAAATTCTTGTTTCCCCCTTAAAAGTTACCATACTACAGGGTGTTTCGCAGTAAAGCCCCAAATACGTGTTAACCCCCTCCATACCCTCCTCCGTTCCACAGCCTTTTATGCCTAAGACTTTAATCCTTGGCCTTTGACCGTCTTCCAAAATTACATTATAAGTACCTTCCAGAGAATTTCAAGACGTTTCTAGGTAAAGACCTGGAAGCTCATTGCAGATCCAGAAACGCCCGGGAAAGCAGTTATCTACTACTGAAACAGACCGGAGATTTGTTCCGTGGTTTTTTATCCCTACTAACTTTTTCCAGATCCTCATAGAAAATCGAAAATTCCCAGAGCCTAAAAGGCCGAAAAGTGGTCTAAAATGTTCTAAAAAGGTATGGACTTCTGTGGAAAAGGCGTACCTTGGAAAGGATCTTTGTTTGCTGAAGTCCTTTTCACAGTGCTTCTCCTTATGCATATAGAGAAGTTAGAGCGTATATATTTAGCTCACACCATTAGACTTTTTTGCTTCAGAGGTTTTTTTAGGTCTCGCGCTCTCTAACTTTGGAATAATAAACTTAAAACACTGGAGAAGAGCTGTAGAAAGGGATTATACAGTATAGGAATAATTTGGAAAGCATTTATCGTACGTGGGAAACGAGGTGGGAAAGCACTTTGTGATTCTCCTTAGTATTCGGTCTTTTTCTAAAGCTGGCTGCGGGCGCTTTCTAAGCTTTTCAACCAACTCTATCTAAAACTCGGGAGAGAATTTTTAGCAGTCTTTAGAAGCGCATAGAAGGAGCTTAGGGGATCCTGGAAGGCTACGGAAAATTCCTAACTTTTTTCTTAACCCTGTACATGCTTCTAGAACGTTTTTGTTTCTTTCTAGGGCGTTTTAAAGCTTGATGGATCCAGAGCTTTCCGAGATATGTAGATATTTTCAGAGACAAATGATCGTAGAGACTTATGGAAATAGCCATCAGCCTGTAGGAGAGCGAGTCTGGAGGCTAACATCTCTCTTGAGAACACCTAAGAGGTCTTGGTACCAGAGTGCCCTAAATCATTTAGATTTTTTAACCCATTTGTAGAGTGCTCGAAAAACCCCTTTTCAGAAATACCTACTAGGTCGTTTCTGGGCCAAGGGGATCTACTATGGTGCGCAAGTGGCTTCAAAGACCTTCAAGCAGGTTTTTTCCAGATTGATCAAGCACCTTTTTGCTCGCCATAAACCCCTTCCACAATTTTATGGGCTTTTCCAAAGTTTTCCGGTGTTCTTGTGCCCCATTAGAGAGGCTTTTCTAAAGCTTCATAATTTCCAGGGCTTCCTAGGAGCTAAGAGTTTTATATATTCTTCCCAGAGCATTTCTTAGCGGTTCTTTTCCATATTTTTTACTTACAAATAATTGAGAAAATGTCTAAAACGCTCTGAAAGGTATAAGAAAGCACGCGAAAGTATTAACAACAGGCTGTAAAACAATTCGAGAGTTTACATACCTATCGTTCGGAGAATTATCAAAGCGTTTTGAAGTGTCTCCTCCATAAGCATATGGAGAACTGAAACCTTTTGAAAAAGGATCCTGCACAATGGGGCTGCCATCCTTATATTAAATATGTCAAAAATCTTTGGCTTTTCATATCGTTTTTTTATCTGCGTTATTTATTTAGTTCATTCCTCTTGTCTTTAATTTCATTTTCATCTTTCAACACTTTTCTATTGTCGCGCTAAACCTCGTCATCTTCACATTTTCTTTCCATTTTCTTTTCCAAATTTTGATTCTCCTCCTTGCAATTCTAAACTTTTTTATTTCAAAAATGTCCGCAAGTTACGAATTTTGCTGTTTGCTGTTGTTCTGCTTCAAAAGATCCATGCCAATGAGACACAGTGGTTGCTTCGCCTGAGCCATTATATTCTTGCTTAATTTTTACCTTTTTGAAATACTTTTTTCTTCTATCCTTGATTACCTCACCTTAACATTCTTTGACCTTCTATTTGCTTAGATTCTTTCTTTATTTAACGCTTTTTATCATTTTTGTTTGTATTCGGAATCTTCGGCCTGTGCACGGTGCAAATTAACGCTACGATTGTTTTGAATTGACATTCCGTGTTTATTGAGGATGGCCGACATTTTTAATCACTTCTTCATTTTAATAGAAACGGAGACATTGGGTGTTTGCTGAGTAAGCGACTATCATTTAACACAGTGATACAAAAAAACATTGAAAATCGCTGCAGGTTAGAAAACCCTTATCTCCTGAACTTGAAGAGATACAGTAATAGCCAAAATGGAGTGTGGGTTCAGAGTCGACAATGACAAATGCCCATAGAGATCATAATACCCACCCATCGACATATCATAAATGGACTGCGCGTGCCAATGCTAAGCATGGATACTGCAGGGGAGAGGGAAGGGAAACGAAGAGGGCAAGCTGTCTCTTACGGTTACGCATTTGATTGGTTCGCGATCGCATTCAAATTAAATTGAAAGAACCAATCAATGCGTAACCGTAAGAGACAGATTGCTCTCTTAGTTTTCCGTTCTCTCTTACCAGCAGTATCCGCAGTTATCATTGCCACGCACAGTCCATTTGTGATATGTCGATGACCCACACGAATTACCTACTAAACTACATCAAGGTAGCGGATAATTCATTTCCTCTTTACAGTCAAAATTGATCCATGAGTAAGAAAGTGGAATTACTGAGATGTGCTCTAAAAGGAACGAAGGAGCTACTGCAGGGAAAAGACAAGAATACGTTAAAAATAGGAATGCCTACGTAAATGACACAGAAATAATAAGAATAATAGTGTTGACAAGGGACAATGATGCTATCAAAAGCTAGGAAGAAGAAAGAGATAAGAGGATTTTAGACTGTTAATAGAGAAAAGAAACCAGGACGAAATTAAACAGAAAATTGAGGTATTTACTGTGGAGAGGAAAGCAGAGAAGAATCGTGAAAAAGGAATTAATAATGTTGAAGAAAATCTATGACGGAAGTAAGTGGGAGGAAGAATTGCATGAAATTGGAATACAAATCAAGCATTAAGATTTTGAAATGATAAAAAAGACAAGATAGAAAGTGAAGGGTTACAAGTGAAAGGAATATTCCGAGATGGAAGAAATAATTCAAGAATATGATGTAAACGAAGGTCTGTTACGTCGTTCCAGCACCAAATTCAAGAAACTACACTTTTCTGTCCACATTTGTAATAAATCAAATTGTCTATAGCAGAATTGCAAAGATTAGAACAAAATCGTGAAAAATTGGGACAAAGAATATTTGCAGTAATATTTCATGCGTATGCGGGAAACCCGCCCCCGAACATATAACTCCGGAATATCTGCCCTTGATCCAATTAGAAATTCTTCCCCGAAATATCCACCCCCGAGAGATTCGCCTTCGGAAAATTTGCTACTTGAAGATTCGTCTACGGAGTATTCATCCCCTGGCAGACTTGCGTGCGAGGTATTTAGCTACAACAAAATTCGCCTTCGGAGTATATTTCCTCCTGGAAAATTCACCCATCTAAAACTTGCCAACAGCATCCGCGCTC